AATCAGAAGGATTACAGGGTTCTCACTGCGGTCCAGGCCGAGAGAAACGCCCAGGGGCTTTACGGGCAGCCCCTCTGTGCCGCTACGCACCTCGCCGAGATCCCCGGGGTGTCTAGATCGCCCCGCCCCAGTCCTGGTTCCTCCGCCTGTCCCCCTGGCGAGGGGGGCGAGAAGCAACTGGCGTCAGACGACCCTTGCGACCCTCGCCCTCGGACGGCAGCAGGCCCTCCGTGCGCCGAGGCGCTTCCCGTATGGACTGCGCCTCCGGCTGCAGGGGGGGCTCGTTCATCTTTCAATCGCGCGCCTGTTCGGCGCCCCCCCTCCCCCTGCAGCCTGCCAGAGGGCTCATTCATTATTCCATCGCGCGCCTGTTTGGCGCCCCTCCCTTTCGCTGCAGCCAGCCCGGGGGCAGCTTCAGGAGTGCCGGGCGGCGACGCCGACGCTGCCGCCCCCCCCCCGCCGGACTGCGGTGCCCCCCCCAGCCTTGAGGGGAGCGCGAGAGATCTTTCGAGCTGGCGAGACGGAGGGTGCGCGCCCCAGCAGCAGCGACCGTGCGGGAGGTGACGCTCGGGCTCCCCCCCGTCGCGCCCAGGGGGGGCCGAGAGCCCTCCTGGGGCGCCGGTGCCGACATCCCGTGACGCTGAGGGAGTCAGATGGATCACAGTGTTCTCACTGAGGTCCAGGCCGAGAGCAACGCCCAGAGGCTTTACGGGCAGCCCCTCTTTGCCACTGCGCACCTTTCCGAGAGCTCTCCCAGGGTGACGGTGCCGGCGTCCTGCGACGTTGGGGGGAATCAGAAGGAGGATCGCGGGGTTCCCGCTCAGCCCCAGGCGGAGAGCGACGCCCAGGGGCGTCGGGGGCAGCCCCCCTTTGCCACTGCGCACCTCGCTGAGAGCCCCAGTGTGCCTGGGTCGCCCCGCCCTGGTCCTTGCTCCGCACCGTGTCCTCCCTGCGGAAGGGGCGATGAGCGAGCGACGTCAGACAACCCTTGCGACCCTCGCCCCCAGAAGGCAGCGTGCCCTCCGTGCGCCGGGGCGACTCCGTTACGGAGCGCGCCCCTGGCTTCAAGGGGGGCCCATCCATTCTCCAATCGCGCGCCTGTTCGGCGCCCCCCCCCCTCGCCGCGGCCGGCCCGAGGACAGCTGCAGGAGTGCCGGGCGACAGCGCCGACGCTACCGCTTCCCCCGCCACGGAGCGGCGCAGCCCCTGAGCTCCGAGGGGCGTTCAGGAGTAGCGAACTGGCGAGGCCCCGGTGCCCGGGTGGCAGCCTCCGCTCGGCAGACGACGGTCGGACTCCTTCCCTTCGCGCCCAGGAGCAAGGGCAGGGTGGCCCCCTTCTCGCTGCTGCGCCACTCACCGAGAGCTCTCCCAGGGCGCTTGGCTCGTCCCGCCCGACGACGGCCCCCCCCATTTGCCCTTCGACTGCGCGCGTTGCCGAGAGCTTTCCAGGTGCCCTACTCGCCCCGACAGGCTGCGGCCACTACGTGCCGCCCCCCCCGACGGAGGAGATGACGGACAGGGAAGTTCGGCTGCGGGGGCCGGTAACGCGCCCCCAATTCCCGGGGCCATCTTGCCGACGTGGGCCCTCTCCACGCCGCGGCGCCCCTTGCCGAGAGCTCTCCCGGGGCGCCCGACTCGCCCCGTCCCGCGACGGCCTCGTCGAGTCGCCCCCGGGATGAAAAAGAACGTCCTCAGAAGAGGGTTGGAGGCCCCGGTGGCGGGGGGCAGACCGCCGACAACCCCGCGGCCGCAAGCCCCTCCGGCGGGGGGGGCGGGGGCCGGGCGATGGGCACGGGGGCCGCCAGCGACCCCCCAGCCAGGGTCGCTTGCGTCGATGCGAAACAGCGCTGCCCCCGCGGCGGACAAACGCACCTTGTGCCAGGACCGCCCCTGCCAGAACCGCATCGTCCCGGATTTGGCGGCCTACCGGGCCCTCCCCCCTGGGGTCCCGCTGGGCCCAGGAAGGGCGTGTGCCTGCTGTGCGACTCTTGTTCGGTGACGCCTCGGCTAGGGCGTGTGGTGGCACTGGGGCTGCTGGCGCAGGGGGGGTCTTCTTCGCCATGGAAGGAGTGTGGAACGGAGGGGCGCCACCCTGGGCACTGCGGGCGTTCTTCGTCGCCGCTGCTGGAAATTGGAACCTCAGTGCGCCGATTCACGCATGTGGATAACGTGCCGCAGCCCAGACTGGGCGGCGCCTGGCGTCACATCCCGCGTCCTGCCCAAGCTGCGGTGGCCTGGCTGAAGGGCAGCGCCGGCGGGCATCGCGACTGGCCCCCCCCTCCTCCTCGGCCACTTCGCTCCGCCCCCCCGTCCACGTGGCGATGAACGCTGACAGCTCGAGCGCCGACGGTTATCGCAGCTGCCCCACGGGCGGGGGGAATGCCGCTCCTGTCTCAGGCGTCTTCTGCCGCGACCCTTTCAATGCCAGCGGGGCCCTGGCCGCCGCGCTTCAGGACGTGCCGCGGGCGGGCGGCGGACCCCTTGCTGCCGGGGCCAGGCGCTGCTCTCGGCGCGGCGAAGGCAGCTGGGGCCCCAGCCGGCGCGGCGCCGCTCTCCTGCGCAGCATCCTCCGCTCCGTGGCCTGGTCGCCTTCCCGATTCTGTGCGCCGTTGCCGAGGGGCCGCAGTGGGCCTTCCATGTGCCGTGGCGCCTCCGCGGCGGCTGCGCCCCTGGCCGCAGGGAGTGATCTCTAACCGCCCTTGACCTATTCGGCGTCCCCCCTTTTGCTTGGTTTTCCGGCCTCGCATCCAGGCGCCGGATGCCGGCGCGCTGGTCGGTGCCGCTCTTCTGCGGCGCCCCGTCGGGCCATCGCGGCATGCACCGCGCCCCGGTGTGGCTCCATTTCTGGTTCGTCATTTTCCGTCGCCATGCGCCTCGTTGGTCCTCTAGTCTCGGCGCCCCCCGCCGATGCCGTCGTTCGGGGTGCCCCCCCCTCGGCGCGGGTCGGGGCCTGCTTTGCTCTTCCTGCTCCCCCTTGCGCCGCCCTTCTGCGGGCGCCATCCGCCCATTCCTGCCCGCGCCTCGCAGGCCCGCAAGTCCTGGCGCTTCGGCTCATCCTTGGACCGTGCCTAGGTGCACTCCGTTGGGGCTTTGCTACATCGTGCTTTTCATTTGCAGCTGCAGCTCAGTGCTGCCCCCCCGGCTTCAGCCTTGTTCAGCTCAGTGCTGCTCAGTGCCGGCGCTGGTTCCCAGCTGCGGCGCCCCCCCCGCCGCAGTCGGCAGCCCGTTCGGGTCTTTCCGCCTTCCACCGCCCCGCGCGCGCCTCATTGACCCACGGGTCTCGGTGCACTGGCCCGTCCCTGGACTGTGCCTTGGTTCGCTGGGTCGATGCCGCTACGTTGTGTTAGCTCCATCACCACTTGCAGTTCAGTGCTGTTTCCCCCCGGCTTCAGCTCAGTGCAGCTCGATGCAGCGCAGTGCCGGCGCTGGGCGCTGGTCTCCCACCTCGGCGCTCCCCCCGCCGCAGTCGGCAGGTCCGAGTGGCCCGGCTTCCCATCCCCCTGTCGCGTCGGGGCTCCTTCTCCTCCTCCGTGCATTGCGGCCCTAATTTGAATGCAGCGTGTCCCCTGTTGCCAATGTGCGTGTGTGTCTGTGTGTGTGTGTGCGTGTGTGCGTGGGGATCTGGAGGCCGCGTTCGACCCTTGTCGAGAGGGCGACCTGCTCTTAGTCATTGGAGATGGCTCCGGTGGGCAGTTTCGCAGTGACCGTTGTTGCCGGAGGGCAGGCGCGACTGCGATGACTCTGGCGCGGGCCTCCTGTGGCTGGCAGCGGGCCCGCGGTTTCGCCGTGACCGTTGGTTGGGGGTCGCCGTCAAACGGTGCCCAGAGCCGAGATCCGCGCGTTTGAAGTTGCGCTTTGCGAGAATCCTGGCCCGATGCGTTTCGTCGCGGACAACGCCGACCTCGAGTGGGTGGCATGCAAAGCGGCACGAGGATTGTAAAAACCCCAAATCAGATTTCTGGCTTCGTGTCCGAGCCGCCCTTATCGAGAGAGGAGAGGGAGAGGTCCACGTGATCTGGTTTCTGTCGCACGTTGATCCTGAGGACCCCCTTTCTCCCCCTGGGAACGTTTGCGCGCCGCGGGCAACGGTTTCGCCGACACCTTATCTGGGGAGGCCGCTCAGTTTTCCTGGACCCATGGCCTTCAGGGCCAAACCCTCCCCCACGCGGATCTGTGGGATTGCGCTGCGGCGCTGGTTCGGCGCCGAGCGGCCAGTGCCGTGGTGGATTCCATCAGCGTTGCGCCCTGTTCCGCCGTGCGGTCTCCCGAGGCCCTTCGCAGGAGAGAGCGCTGTTTGGTCTGGGGCCGACGAAAGTGGCTGTGGTCGTTGTGTCACACGATCGTCCCTGTGTTTCAGGTGGCGGATTTAGCACGACACCTTGCCTTGTGGCGGCCCAAGACCTCTCGAATCTTGCTGATGATGGGGTGGTGCGGGCCAATGGGGCGGTTGCGGTGGGGGGCAACGTCTGGCATTGCCCGCATAATTAGCAATTCTGGCCCAAGTTTGGGTTGCATTTTTGTATGGCAGGCGGTCAAACTGCCACGGAGGACCCTCGCAATTTAGTAGTTGAGTGCAATATCCGCAGAGTTCGTTGCCGCCGTGTGGATATCAGCGAATTCCAGCGAATTTCTCCTCCTTTTCCTCCCCCTCCCCTCCCCCCCCTCCTCCTCCTCCTCCTCCTCCTCCTCTCCTCCTCCTCCTCCTCCTCCTCCTCCTCCTCCTCTCCTCCTCCTCCTCCTCCTCCTCCTCCTCCTCCTCCTCCTCCTCTCCTCCTCCTCCTCCTCCTCCTCCTCCTCCTCCTCCTCCTCCTCCCCCCCCACCTCCCCCTCCCCCCTCCCAGTCGGGGAATATCAGCGAATCTCAGCAAATTCCTCGTTCTCCTTCGACTTGGTTTTCATGGCTCAAAAGGCCCGGTACTAGGCCTCCAGAAGCCGACGTGGCGAAAACATTCCATGGACGGCGCTCTGCCCAGCTGTGTCCGTGCTGCCGCGCCCTTCAGGAGTGCACGTGCAACTGCTGCATCAAGGAGCGCCGGCGGCCGACGGAGCTCCCGGCGCTTTCGCCGTGAGCCGCGCCCGCCTCCGTCGGGGTGCCAGGAGGGATGCAACTGCGGCTGGGTGCAGGGCCAGGAGTAGGATGATGATGCTGATGCTGATGCTGATGCTGATGCTGATGCTGATGCGGATGATGATGATGATGATGATGATGATGATGATGATGATGATGATGATGATGATGATGATGATGATGATGATGATGATGATGCTGTTGATGATGATGATGATGATGATGATGATGCTGTTGATGCTGATGATGATGCTGCTGATTATGCTGCTGATGTTGATGATGATGATGATGATGATGCTGGTGATGCTGCTGCTGCTGATGATGACGATGATAACGATGATGATCGGTATGCTGATGATTTTGATGCTGATGGTCATGATGATCAGGATGATGATGGTGATGGTGATGATGTAGATCATCATTAACATGGTCATGATGTTGATGCTGGTGATGTTGTTTTTGCTCGTGGTGGTGGTGGTGGCGATGATGCGGATGATGGTGATGATGGTAATTCTGATAAGTTTGATATTTTGTGTTGTGTGTGCATGACACGTACGTGCGCCACTCGCTGCCGTTTGACCCTCAAGGGGCCCCTTTTGTCAGGGTGGAGCAAACATCATACATCACACTGGCAGCGGAACCTGCTACACGGTCTTCGGCGTCAGCACCACTGCGCAGGACCCTTCATTCCAGAGAGCGGTCCTTACGGTTACTATACAGTACTTTCTTGAGTGGTGACCTTTACAAGGGGATTGTATACTGTCTTGATACTTGCCTCTCCCCGTTACCGATCAAATTCTGATTCGTTGACCAGATCAGAGACGTTTTTTTGTTTTGTGTTTGTTTTGTTTGGTTGTTGCTGTTTGTTCTTCTTGGTTCACGATGGTATTGCGAACAACTTCCATGATTGAAAATCCGTACACACATGCGCATGAGGGCTGCCTTGGTTTTCGTTGATCATGAAACGGGATAGCCACTACCACACATCGTCACCACAACCATCAGTAAGGTGATAGAGGTCCTCAGAGGTGACGCGTTCGATATAGCCGTGGATATCGGTATAGACACGCTTATGACGAAAACAGACATCGAACTACTTATACAGACGATCCGTATTTCGGTTTCCCTATGGAGGTTCAGGAAACCAAACTCTTCTTCCAAGTAGGACAGAGACCGTACGGTCCAATGCCCCGACAGAACTTGCATACATCACACAAAAAGGGCTGGTGGAAGCTTGCTGCGAAACCCGACCCGATCCTCGAGATGTGTGACGACATGCTTGGATCTTTTTCCTTGGATCATGCAGGATTTTCACTTTCGGATAATTTGGGGGTGTTGGCAACGACGGGTAATGTGGTCAATTCTGGCAAGGTCGAGGGCGTCTTGAATTCTCAGCACGGCCGCGTCCACATCAGACAAAATGGGCAAGGGAGATTCGGGCAATACGTCCACCTCCACACAGTTGGCGCCGTGGAGCCTTGTCAAGGACAAGGGCAAGCCCTTATGCTCCAGGCCGCCACAGGCATGCCGCCCTGCCGACGGCAGTTGGTGCGAGCAGGAGGAGCAAAACCCCGATGAGCTAAACCCCTATGGTTATTATGCGTCCGGCTACACACCTGAGTATGGCTTGGACCACGAGTTTTGGTGGACAGACGCCTTGACAGATGACCAGACCTGGGGCGACGCAGGCCGTCGCGTTCGCTGGGCATCCGCGCCGTGTGGAGATGAAGTTGACGCCGAAGTAGTCAAACACGGTTACATGGAATAACACATACCTGAAATAGTTTAGTTATATGGATATGATATGGTAGCTAACCTTGGCGCCAGAGGTATATGAAAGAGCAGAGGCAAAGGAAAAGGTCACCGTTGGCAGCCCTTGGCGTCCAGGCGCGGTGGCAGGGGAACGCCGACTCTGCAAGGGCGCGAGGCTCGCCACCGGGTGAACAAAAAACGATCGAAGCGTGAGATCTGTAACGAGATTGGCCAGTGGTCTGGGGGCCCTGAGTGCCAGGATAGCGTACAGTGATGAGCGACTGTTCCAATTGCGCGAGGGCGGCGACGACGATCTGTTTTCGCCCAGGGGATCTGTTGCGATATCATCCACCATTCGTCATCAACACGACATTTGTAACACGCCGCGCACTATGGCCCTTTTCTGTTCTTCCGTCTCATCGCTTTTTGCGCAATGTCGTAAAGCATGCTTGAGCGAGGGAGAGAGGCGCAGCGGGCAGTGCTGCTCGACGGAGGGACATTCGGGAGAGCATGTGTGCAAGAGTTGCTTGGATGACGCCCCATTGCCCGAAGCCGCTTTGGCTCGTGGCCCCGAGCGCGAGCGCGCGGCCGCGACTCGGGGCGGCTCCCAGACCCCGTCGGAGGCTGGAGAGAGGCTGCGCGCGCGCATGGCTCTTCGCACGTCGGCCTCGGGGACTGCCGCTCCGAGCGCTTCGAATGGTGCCCCCGGGATTTTTTCGATGAGCGGTGTGTCGGATGAAGAGTTCGAGGCGACGCCCGTTCATGAGCTGGTTGCTGTTCCTGGTCATGACGCGACGCTCGTCGCTGGTCAGCATCGAGGTCTCGTTCGCGTGCGGCAGGGTGCTCGCATATACGCCTGATCGTGTTTCTTGCGGTCGCGGTGCCTAGAAGCTGGGCGAGGAGTTGAAAGCCTTGCTGGCGTGGTTCGATGATAATCTCGTCCGATTGGCTAACGGTCGCATCGCGCGTCGGACTGAAGGTGGCGCGCGTATTCATGTCAGTTCTGGTGCCGGCAGCTCGACGCGCGGGCGGAAGCTTCCAGGGCTGTCATTGCCTCGCCCGTGTGCTCGCGGTTGCGCGAGTCTCTGTGGCGCTGGCACGTCGGCTCGATTCATCGCTCGAACTTGCAGGGGTTGCGGTCGCAAGACCAAGAAGGAGGGATGCGAGGCACTGCGTCGGCCGTGCGAGCGTCGTCGCGACCTTGATGACATCAGAGGTAGTGCTCGAGTGTTTGTCCGCTCGGTCTGTTGCGCGTGCTTGATATGCGTCGATGAACAGCCTCGTGAGCCTGTTCTGAAGAAGGGCGGGGCCGCGGTGAAGGTCGGGCGCGCCGCCGATCTCCGGGCTGAGGCAATCGGGGAGATCGTTGAACGTGACCGTCGCATCGGCGCCGGGAAGCTGTCCGCGGAGCGCGCTATGTCGATCTGTCAGGACACGGGCGGCATCAGCACTGGTGACTTGATGTCATTGTCTCGTGATTGTGTCTGACAGCCGGGGCTGAGCTTGTCGCGTCCGCGGCGCAGCCGCCTTTTGCATCGACCGGCTCGTCGGCAATCTCCGTGCTCAGAATGGTTTATGTCTTCGAAGAGTCGCGGCGTTTGAATTGCATGGCACCCCCGCGCTGTAAACGAACGCCCCCCGCGGTTTCTTGTTTGCGATGTCGCGCGGGCGCCGATTGGGCGCGGATGTGAGAAGGGCTGCGTCTTGTAACCGGGAAGGTCGTCATTATATCGTGGGCGCCCAATTGCAGGCGCGCGCGCAGCGCGTCGCGACCTCGCGCCAGGGCAACGTCGAGGGGCAGCGGCGCGTTGGCTCGCCTGGCCGCGACGCTTCGGCGCGATCGCAGCGCGCGCGCGCGCTCGGGGCCGCGTTTCCCGCGGGGCGTCGGCCGCGCGGGGGCCGAGATGGGGGCGCGGGCAGATCGCGAGGGATCAGCGGGCCCGGCGCCGCGGCCTCGCAGGGGGGGTCGCCGCGGCCCTCCGCGTCGAAGATAGCCTAGAGATGAGCGGCTTGCTCCGCGCTGAATTCTTGCAGCCCGTGCCGGGGAAGGACGACCGTACTTTTCGCCCGTGAGTCGCTTCCGCGATGGCGAAATCTGCTGATATCCAAGGGTCAAGCCTTCGCGTTTCAGCGCCCCGACGGGCGAAGCAGCATGGCGCCGCCGCGCGCGCGTCGTCTCGCGCCCTGGTGGAGCTCCCCATGGGGCCGCGATCCTCGCGCGGGGGGGGGGCTGAGCCCGCGTGCGGAATCTGCCATTCGGGCCTTCGGTCGAGCCCCCAATCGGGCTGCGATCCCGCTGAGGTGCGCGCCGAAAATGGGTGCTGAGACCATGTGCTGACCCTGCCGTTGGGGCCTTCGGTGGGGCTCCTTATGGGGCCGCGATCCTCGTGAGGGGCGTGCCGGAATGGGCGCGGGGCCCGCGTGCGGGCCCCGCGCCCTGGGTTTTCGGTGGGGTCCCTACTGGGCCATGATCCTCGTAAGCGCGTGCTGAAAATGGGCGCGGGGCGCGCGTGCGGGCCCCGCCGCTGGGGCCTTCGGCGGAGTTCCCTACGGGGCCGCGATCGTCGCGAGGGGTGCGCCGAAATGGGCGCGGCGCCCGCGCGCGGGCCCCGCTCCGCGGGCATCCGGTGGAGCTCCCTGGGGCCGCGATCCTCGTGGGGGGCGTGCCGGACTTGATGCAGGGCCCGCGCGCGGGCCTTGCCGCTGGGGCCCCGCGCGGGACCGGGGTCCCTGCGAGGGCCGTGCCGACGTGGATGCGGGGCCCGTTTGCTGACTGTCACTGGGGCTTTCGGTGGAGCTCGCTATGGGGCCGCGACCCTGGTGAGAGGTGCGCCGGAACCGATGCGGGGCCCGCGTGCGGACCCTGCTGCTGGGTCTTTCGGTGGGGCCGCGATCCTCGTGGGGGGTGTGCCGGAATGGCTGCGGGGCCCGCGTGTGGACCCTGCCGCTGGGGCCGTCGGTGGGGCTCCTTATGGGGCCGCGATCCTCGCGAGGGGTGCGCCGGAATGGGCGCGGAACCCGCGTGCGGACCCTGCCGCTGGGGCGTATGGGGCCGCGATCTTCGCGAGAGGCGTGACGAACTGGGCACGGGGGGTGGGGGGGGTGGCGGGGGGGGGTGGCGCGGGCTTTTTTTTGTGTGTTTGAAAACGAGGGCCCGACGTCGCAGGATAGTTGGGGATGCCTTGCGCGAGCTTGTCGCCTTCTTCCGTCCGTGTCTCCGCGGGCAGCTTCGGGCGCCCGCGGCGCCGCGCCGGGTTTCCCACTAACGGCACCTGTGCCGAATTCGGCGCCGAGGCGGCGGCCCCCGCATCTGGGCCTCAGGGGCTTAATTCAGGCGGGCCCAGCCCGAATTTCTGAAGGGCCGCTCTGACTTTCAGCAAGGGGCCAATCTGAATAATTTCAGCGTGGAAGTATCGAGCAAAACGCTTCGGGGCAGCCCCCCAGGGGGGCAATCTGAAATTCAGACAGGTCCGCTCTGCATTTCAGACATGGCCAGTCTGAAATTCAGATGCGGGCCGCCGCCGTAAAGCAAATCCGCTGGCGCCGTCGCCCCGGGCCCTTCGGCGCCATCCGGCCAGACCGAACGTCGCGCGAACTCTCGGCGCCCAGGGGCGTCGCCCTGCCGAATATCCTGATCCTGGCGGCCGCGAAACCGAAACGCTGCGCGCTTTGGCGACTGCCGCCCCGAGCGCGCGATGCCCCGGGCGACGGCGCCCTCTGGTGGCTTTTGATTCGCCCCCCGGGGCGAGCCACCCCCCCCAGAAGTGGCCAGGCGAAGGGCCCAACCATATGCAATTGTGAGTACCGTCTTCGTGAGCAACGCATTCGGTGGAGCTCCCTATGGGGCCGCGAAACGCCCCCCCCCCCCCCGCGCCACACTGGGGCCTTCGGTGGAGCTCCCTATGGGGCCACGAAACGCTGTGCTGGGTGTGGCGGACGCATGCGCCCCCCTCCACTGGGGCCTTCGGTGGGGCTCCCATATGGGGCCACAAAACGCTGTGCTGGGTGTGGCGGACGCATGCGCGCCCCTCCATTGGGGCCTTCGGTGGAGCTCCTTATGGGGCCACGAAGCGCTGTGCTGGGTGTGGCGGACGCATGCGCTCCCCCCCCCCACTTGGGCCTTCGGTGGAGCCCCCTATGGGGCCACGAAGCGCGGTGCTGGGTGTGGCGGACGCATGCGCCCCCCCCACTGCGGCCTTCGGTGGAGCTCCCTATGGGGCCACGAAGCGCCGTGCTGGGCGTGGCGGACGCATGCGCCCCCCCCTTCCCCCACTGGGACCCTCGGTGGAGCTCTCTATGGAGCCGCGAAACGTTGTGTTGGGTGTGGCAGACGCATGCGCCCCCCCCCCCACTGGGGCCTTCGGTGGAGCTCCCTATGGGCGGGGCCGCGAAACGCTGTGCTGGGTGTGGCGGACGCATGCGGGCTGTGCCACTGCGGTCTTCGGTGGAGCTCCCCATGGGGTTACGAAACGCGTGAGAGGCGCGCCGAGAGCAAGGGCAAGGAGGGGGAGGAGGGGGGGGGGGAGGGAGGGGGAGGGGGGAGGGGGGGGGGGGACAAGGGGGGTGCGCTCGCGTCATATCTGACGTCCTACCCCTCCCTCCCATCCCTTACCATGGCGCTGATTTTCTCTATCCGCGGACGCGTGTCGTAGCGGACCTGTGGCTCCGCGCGCGCGTGCGTAGTGGGTGGTGGTGCACGTGCGTGCGTGCGTGCGTGTGTGCGTGGTTGTCGTGGTGGTGGTGGTGGTGGTGGTAGTGGTGGTGGTGGTGGTGGTGGTGGTGGTGATGGTGGTGGCGGTGGTGCTGGTGGTGGTGGTGGTGCTGGTGGTGGTGGTGTTGGTACTGGTGCTGGTGCTGGTGGTGGTTGTGGTGGTGGTGGTGGTGGTGGTGGTGGTGGTGGTGGCGGTGCGGCGCGGTGGTGGCGGGCGGATGGGCGCGCGAGGAAAAGGCCCGCGCTGGGGCGAGAACGCCATCCTGAGCGACGGAGGCCAAACACCGATCCGAAAATGAGGCCCACGCTGCAGCGGGAGCACGATCCGGAACGATTCGGGAGCAGAAATGAGGCCGGCGCCTCAACGAGAGCAGCATGTTGGGAAAACATGACGCCGGCGCCTCAGCGAGAGTCGTTTCCCGGGATTTCCCGGGCATCCTGTGTGTAAAAAACAGCGCGCGGAGGGTGCGCGGCCATCGCCCGGGCGCCATCAGGGGAAGAGGGAGAGTATGCTACAGTTCTCTGAACGTCTTTCTCTCTCCCCTCCGGCCGCAACCGTCTATGCTCAATCAAGTCTTTTCGAGGCGGCGACGCCTGAGGTGAATGATTTTTACCGCCCTCGCTGCCTTCTGGGAAATTGGGAAGCTTGCCTGGCCAGCGCTCTGCCCTCTGGCCTCGAGCGCTCTGACGTCCGCGGTGCAGTCAAGCTAACTACTTCGGCTCCCCGTGCTCGCCGTGCCTCCTCACGTTCGCCCTCGGGCTGGCTTGGGGTGCTGCGCTGAACTCCTGCGCCTGGCGACGGGATGCCGGAGCTGGCCCGCCGATGTATGCAGCCAGGGAGAGAGGTGATCGTCCGCTACGACACCGAGCGCCGCCTGTGGCATCGACGGACGCTGATAGAGCCGTGCGACGCGGCGGTGCTGGCCCGCGTGATGGGCGAGCCAGCGGGCGACCCTTCCGCTCTCATCATGTGGGCGTGGACGCCGACCGGGGGCATCTACCCGGAGGAGCTGAGCGTGCCGTGCGATCTCGAGGGGGCGCCGCTGTTGGAGGCCTGCCTGGGTCCTCCATCTCATTGGGGGCGGCTGTTCGAGTCTGGACAGGTCCTTCGGCCAGCGCAGTACGAGAGAGCTCGAGCGGTCTGTCGAGCACAGAATCGTGGTCAAGTGGCTCCGGCTCCGGACGCAGAGCCTCTTCTGGACGACGACGGTGAGCCGGTCGACGGTGGCGGTGCCCTCGCGCCCGTGGGCGCACCAGCTGTCGGCGGCACCTTGACGCCGCATTCCCCGCCCGCCTTCGCCCCGGAGGACGTCAGGATTCTCAAGATCGCCGATGAGCTCGGGGTCACTTTCGGAGGAGGCCGCCTTCCTGCCCCGGACGGCCGCTGGGTCGACGTCAGCTCCGCCAACGTTCTGGCCCTCGACTCGCCAAGTGGGGGCGCCTGGGTCGTCGGCCCGGAGTTCGGCATGCTGCTGAAGGACGGCTCGCTGCGGCTCATCGCGGACCGCGGTGCGGGGCCGGTCGACCCTGGCGACGACGGCGGGGAGGCGGAGCTCGACGCGCGCATCCTGGAGGTGTCGCGAGACCGGCTGGGCAAGCGGTTCAAGGACTTCAAGATCGCTGTCGACCTGGTCACGGAGACTGCGTGGGATTCATGGCCCCTGACGGGGCCGCGGACTACAAAGTGGCGTTTGCAGTTTATTCTTCAAACTAATGGTCACCCGAGGGCTCGTCATTCGTGGTGGAAGTCGACGTGCGGGATCTCTATTGCGGACCCTGGAGTTTCAGATCATGAAACAGCGATGAAGGCCGTGGAGTACGCCCTGACCTACGACCAGGTCAACGCCGCTGAACTATCCTTCGTGGAGCTTCTCCTGCGGCGGGCGCATCTGGCCGAGTGCCGCTACAAGCGCAAGCTGCTGAGGGCGGGCGGCCAGGTCGACGCTCTCCTGCAGGGCGAGTTTCTCGATCTACCTCGGGGTCGGAGAGGCGCGTGGGCAGCTGATGCTCTGTCCGCTGTTGGAAGAGTTCGTGGCGTCGGAGCTCCACCGCGAGAGCACGATCGCGAAGGAGTCGAGGAAGCTGAACGAGGAGAGGAGGCTACAGGCTGCTCAGGCTTCTCATGTCCAGCGACCCCTCGTGGATGCTGCGGCTGGCCTCCTGACGTCCCCGCCGGACGGCCCCGGGGGCAAGGGCGAGACTAAGGCTGAGCGAGCTGCCGAGCGAGCCGCCGCCAAGGCGCACGCGAAGGGCCTGGACAAGGCCACCGCGGCGGGCAAGGCGGGGGCTGGAGGCGCTTGAGCGGCCAGGCGGCTGGGGCCCCCGTCCAGCCGCCGAAAGCAGGGATGACAGTCAGCCGCGAACTTCTACCCCTCGCGCTGCCATATCCTCGTGAAGACTATTTTTCTTCTCCAGCCTCTGGGTGCCGATCTGTGCGACGCCGTGCGCGCGTTCGTCGGCGTTGGCAGGCTTGGGTTAATTCGGCGGTGGAGTGCTTGAACGAGATGTACGGCTGCCCCATTAATGCTCCACCTGGTCTGGGAGATTCACTCGCTCAGCGCTGGAGTGTCGAGATCCTCGCCGACGTCTATCGGGCCATGCCCCCGCCTCCCTGCGCCGCCGCGCAAGCCCTCAGCGAGCTTGGCGGCAGCCGCCCGGGCTACGCGGACAGCGACCCTAGGCGCAACTTCCAGCCTGACCTAGTCTCCTTGCCCACGGTGGGCGGCCTGGCGGACGGCGAGCAGGTGCTGTCCGGTCAGGCTCTTGAACGCTGGAGGTCTGTTTCGACTACTTTGCGGCCAGAGTCCTCTGGCAGCTCAACTTCGGCTAATGCCTCAATTCGCCCGTGCAGCGACCCTTCTCTGGTCAAGGACCAGGTGCGGTACAGTAACTTCGTCATGCAAATGCTGGAGGCCGGTCTGGTCACCATACGTGCCGAGCGCCCTGCTGCGGTTGGCATCGTCTTCGCGGCGAAGAAGGACGGGCGCCTGCGCGTGATTTTGGAGACCAGAGCGGTCAACGACCTCTTCGACGAGCCGGCGCACTCGCGCCTGCCAACTCCTGCGTCATGCGCCTCCGTCGAGATCGGGCTCACGGACGACCTCATCCTGTCCCAGATGGACGTCGACAACGCCTTCTACCGCTGCAAGGCGCCGCCCGGCGTCTCGGACCTTCTTGCGCTGCCCCGGGCTTCTGCTCGGCACCTTCATCGAGCCAGCGGGAAGTTGGCGACCAATCTTGGCGTGACCGCGACCGGTTACGTCACGCTTCACCTTGAGGTCATGGCCATGGGCTGGTCGTGGGCTCTTTACTTCTGCCGGGCGATGGCGACGGCCAGCGCGCTCCGCGCGGGCGTGCCGTCGGAGGCCTTCTTGCTTGACAAGAAGCCCGCGCCCGACGTCGCTGGCGACAAGTTCGGGGCGGCGGTCTACGTCGACAACGCGGGGGTCATCGGCACCAACGACGACGTCGTCAGGGGCATGGCCAAGAAGCTCCTGCGCCCAGCTCGCGGCGGACGGGCTCCAGTGCAAGGATCTCAAGCACGGCTTGCCCGAGGCCCAGTTCACGGGCATGACGCTCGACCGGGCCACCGGGCGTATTTCAGTCGGCCACCGCCGTTGCTGGAAGGTGCGCCTCGCCATCGCGGCCATCCTCGCGGACGGGTTCGTCTCGGGGAAGGTCTTGCATCGCATCGTGGGGCACTTCGCTTGGTCGGCTATCTTGAGAAGGTGCCTACTCAGCATGCCGCACTCGATCTACCGCTTGGCGACTCGCGCATCAAGATCTGGCCCGTGGTAGCCCGGGAGCTCCGTTGGATGATGGTGCTGCTGCCTCTGGCCTACACGGACAGCAAGAGGCCTTGGAGCACGCAGGTCGTTGCGACGGACTCCGAGGGCGCCAACGTCACGGACAACGGGGGGTTCGGTATTGTGGTGAAGCCCTTCGACCTCCATGCAGTGAGAGAGTGGGGCCGGCAGAGCGAGCGCTGGAGGTTCGCAGTCGAGGGCGCTGTGCAGGCCCGCCGCCGCGCCTTGGCTTCCGATGCGGAGCCGTCGGGCGCGCCGCGCCCGTGCGAGGGGGCGCTGCCAGATGAGCTCCCTCCCGAGCTCATGGACATCCGGCGCGAAGGTATCGGGCCCTTCTCTAGCTGGGGATTAAAGGTTCGTGGCCGCTGGCGAGTGGCCGAGAACATCGCGTCATCAGAGGGGAGGGCGACGGTCATCGCTGCCAGAAATCCTCTTCGGTCGGTTCGTCACTTCTCCCATCGCCACCTCTTCCTTGGAGATAACTTGGGGTTCGTCTTGGCGCAGGGGAAGGGCAGGGCGAGCAGCGTGGTCGTCAACCGGCGTTGTCGTCAACTAGCTGCGTTGTCGATGGCATCGGATTCGGACTTCGTCTCGAGATGGATTCCTTCAGAGTTCAATCCCTCCGACGCCGCTTCCCGGAACGGGGCCGCCCGTGCGGGGCGGCGGCGGGCCTCGGGGTGCTCGCCCACCTTGGGCAGCCCGAGGCCCGGAAGTGCGTGCCTCGCTCCAGGCTGCTGTCGAGGCGCTCGCCCGAGCCAGCGGCGACCCAGACGCCCCGCCCGAGTTCGACGACGGGCTTTGGCGTCCGGGCGGCGGGCCCTACACGTTGTGGCCATCAAGCACTTGGCCCGATTGGGTTGACGACGGAGGCTTCGAGGACTTCGATTCGGATAGCGACGACTCGGAGGCTGCTGCTCTCTCGGACACATCCTCTGCCTGCGAGGAGACCTGTGACGGAGGTCAGCCATCAGCCACCCGCCCAGCAGCGGAGGCAACGCGCTCGCCGCCGTCAGCTGGCCCACCAGGACGAAGCTTCGAGGGCGCGCAGTTTAGGCCAGTACTTCTTGGAGGTGAACAAGGTGACGCGTCCTTCTGCCATGATGTACGACAGGTACTTTCAGGACTTCCAGACCTGGGCCAGCAGCAACGGCCTGCCGCTGAACGCCAGCGAGGACATCTCCCTCGCGATGCTCGAGTACCTGGAGGACCTTTACTTCCAGGGCCACAACCACGACTCGGGCGAGAAGGTGATCGCGGCGCTGGAGTACAGGGCCCCGGGCATCCGCAGCGCGAAGGTCCTCGAGCGGGCCAAGAAAGCGCTGAAGGGCTTCAGGAGGCTGGCTCCCGGTCTCAGCCGGGCGCCTCTGCCGTGGATCGGCCTGTGTGCCCTAGTGGGCGCGGCTCTACACATCAACGAGCTGGAGTTCGCGCAGTGCCTGGTGTTCCTGTTCCGGACGTACCTGAGGCCCAGCGAGTGCCTGGGGCTGCGAGTGGATCAGCTCATTCCCCCGCTCCCCGGTTCGGGGACCAAGTTCTGGGCGCTGCTGCTGGCGCCCGAGGAAGAGGCCACCCCCACGAAGACCAAGGAGTTCGACGAGAGCATCCTGCTGGACAGTCCCGAGCTGGTCTGCCTCTACCCGCGCTTCTCAACCTTGAAGAAGCGCTCAGGCCGGGACAAGGTGTGGTCCTTCGACTATCGGAAGTTCTCGAGCCTGTTCAAGCGCGTGTCGGAGGCGGCGGGCCTGGGCCAGGCCAACTTCCACCCGTGCATGATGTGGCACGGGGGCGCCAGCGACGACGCGCTCAGGCAGACCCGCTCCTTGGAGGAGATCAAGCGCCGCGGCCGCTGGGCCGCGGACACATCAGTCAAGAGGTGCGAGAAGCATGCAAGAGTTCTGAAGTCGCTGGAGTGCCTGCCCAAGCCGGTGCGGGACTACGGCCTGGCCATCGAGTGCCAGCTGAAGCTGCTGCTGGCCCTGCAGGCCAAGCCGCCTCCGCCGCCCGGACTGGGCAGGAAGCGCCTGCACGGGAAGGGGTAAGACGGCCTTTTCACGGGGGCCGTGAGGACCACAACGCGGGTTTGGATCAACATTTGCCTGCTCATTTAATTCGAGGTGGACTTCGGAAAGTTTTTCAGCGTGCTGCCAGTCTTGGTCATGACAATCGCGTGTATCTAGATTTATTATCGGGCACAGGTGCCGTTGGTGAACGCCTGAGCTCGATGAAAGAAAGTTGCATCAGCTTTGACTCTCTCAATGGACAAGAGTATGACCTCACCAACCCAGTTGTGGTCAACGTGATCTTGGGTTGGATCCAGTCCGGCTTGGTGAAAGGAATCTTCGCCGCCTTCCCATGCAGCAGTTGGACTCCAGCCCTGTTCAAGCAGATCCGCAGACCTTGGTGCCCTTACGGGATTCCGGACCCGACTCCCGCGGAGGCCGCTAGACTGAAGACGGGTAAGCAGACTCTGAAGGTCACCTGTAGGCTTGTGAGGGCTTGCATCCGGGCGCGCGTCTCCGTTTTGCTCGAGAATCCTCGCGCCTCGAAAGCGTGGCGCGAAATGCGAATGTCGGCCTTGATGGGCCATCCCTCCTGTAAGCAGCTTGTGATCGATCAGTGCGGTTTCGGGGCCCGTTGGCGTAAGCGTACTCGCTTTGTAGGCTGGCACGTCCCTATGCTTCGTCATGAACACTTGCTTTGTAAAGGCCACGGGTGTTGTTCCTTTAGTCTGAAACCGCGCATCATCCTTCGGGGTAAGGCTCCGGGGTCTGGTATCAATTTTAACCGCTCTCGCGGCTTCCTACCCTAAGAGGTTATCGGCTGCCATTGCGAGTTGGCTCGTGAGATCCGCAGCAGCCTTCCGAGGAGCCCGTTTCAATCAGATAGTTGGGTAAGGTTTCACCTCAGGCGGCTCCAGAGCACAGTATGGGTCTGGGGGTTTTGAAGTTTTGTGCTGGCCCGGTGGGCCGCCGTGGTGAAGGCCGAGGCTCTCGGCCCCGGTCTAGCTCGAGCTGTCCTGAAGAGATTCGCTATGCATCTCAGTCGCACACAGATTGAAGAAAGAGAACGGTTGCGACTGCTGTAAATACAGGGCTGTCGCCCGCTTCCGTCTGGCCTAGAGGGTTAGAGATGCTACAATTCTCTGAACGTCTTTCCCTCTCCCCTCCGGCCGCAACCGTCTATGCTCAAGTCTTTCCTCCCGCCGTCCCCTCCTATTGCCGCTACGGTGAAGGGGTTTTGAAGTTTCGCGCAGGCCCGGTGGGCCGCCTTGGTGAAGGCCGAGGCTCTCGGCCCCGGTCTAGCTCGAGCTGTCCTGAGGAGATTCGCTATGCATCTCAGTCGCACACAGATTGAAAAAAGAGAACGGTTGCGACTGCTGTAAATACAGGGCTGTCGCCCGCTTCCGTCTGGCCTAGAGGGTGGGAGATTTTCATATTGAGTAATTGTGGAAGGAAGGAAGGAGGAGAGACGTGGGGCACCGTCTCTTCAAAACGAGAACCCAACACCACAGGATGGTTAGGAACAATTCAAACGCCTCATGTAATTATCACTTGCTAGGCCCGAAACTCCAAAGTGCAAGCTCTGCCGCAGCACAACGCGTGTCGTTGGTGTTTGCTGTTGCCCAGAAGGCCCCCAGAGACCAAAGCGTTCCGCGCCGCCCCCTCGACGTCGTGCCTGGCGAGCTCCCCCGCGTGCCAAACATAGCCCCGGCGCGTTGCAATTAACCCGCGAGGCCGCCGCAGAGGCCGCCGAAGTTTCGAGGGGGCGTTCCCAAACAGCACGGGGTGCCCGATGACGACCCATAGCCTGCCCGTGGCGCTTCCGAGAGACGCTCCCCTGAAGGCTTGAATGGTTCTGGGGATCCTGCCGGCGCGACCCGACAACCCCATAGAACGGCTCAAGGCGTTCAGTGTTCGCCCTTCAAACTGGAGGCCGACCCCCGAGGGGCCCCCGAGCTGGCGCGAACGCTGCCCGGAGACATCCTGGACGGCAGAATTGCAGGCTCTCGCGGCGGACGAAGAATGCCCAGTCGGTTTTAAGATGCTCAAAAGTAAACCGTCAGGGTACGTCCGGAAAGCGCCCGGCGTAGTTTGCAAAGCCCCGGAGAAGGCCCAGCGCGATTCTGACGGAGGCAGCGGCGACGGCAAGTTTCCGCAATTGGCGGGCGAGATGCGTCGCCCAAGCCGCGTCATTCCACGTCCTGCCTTCTTCGTCGTCGTAGTCTTCCTCGTCCTCTTCCTGCATCGTTCGTCAATTGCTTCGTGCTCCTTCCCCCTCTCCCCCTTGCCCGGCCGGGCCCCCCTCCTCGGAGCGTCGACGGAACCGGCAGTGACTGATCGGAACATGTGGCACAATTCCCGGCCATATCAAGCTTGGTTGCGAGATCTGTGCCCGTGTCACGACGCGTCGCGCGGGGTGAGTGAGCGTCGGCCCAACGAGAGGTAACCGATGCGCGGGTAACGAAATGGGCTCGCGGTGACAGGCGGCGCGCTCGTGGGGCGGCGGCGCAAGCGACGCGAAAGATTGACGACGCGTGGCCGCCGCAGTATGAGGCTGGGGCGCGAACGAGAATGGGGCGCAGCACCTACGCGTGCGAATCATAAGGGCGAATCAGACCACGTGCCCACGATTCGCGTAGATGTGCTCCAGCAAAGCTTCGGGGCGGAGGGGTCGATCGGCGCGCGTCCATGCCGGCGGCGCCCGCCGCGATCTCGCCTCGCATTGCGCTGCAATCCAATCAACGGGGGAGTTGCGTAACAACTTCAGTTGCAAAGTGGGGCGCGGCCGTCTCCCCGTTGCACCTCGCACGCGTGTGTTGGCGCATAATATGCCTGCGAGTTTAATTGCGCAGTTCGCAAATGACCCAGGCGCCAGAATTCATTTGGATAATTCCATGTTGGGGGTGTCCTGCGGTTGCAGGGCAGTCGGGGTGATGGCGTCTGGGCTGCCCTAGATGAAGGGTGCAATTCTTGTTGTCGCGGCAAAGCTTGGGGTGTCAATGCGAGGTATAAGTTTGAGAAGGTCATGGAGCTCGCGAGATTGATCGCGGCGTCGATGGTCAGGCTGGCAGCTCCACGACGGGCAAGAAGTGTTTCCTTTATCGCATCGTTGGCAGTCGTGGTGTTTTTTCCCAACCATCCTGTGGTGTTGGGTCCTCGTTTTGAAGAGACGGCGCCCCGCGTTCCTCACCTCCTCCTCCTCCCCCCCCTCCCTCCTCCCATCATCATCATCATCATCATCATCACCACCACCATCATCATCATCATCACCACCGATTTCGGCACACCCCTCACACGCTTCGTGGCCCCATAGGGAGCTCCACCGAAGGCCCCAGTGGCAGGGTCCGCATGCCTCCCCACCACCCAATTCGGCACGCCCCTCACACGTTTCGTGGCCCCATAGGGAGCTCCACCGAAGGCCCCAGTGGCAGGGTCCGCATGCCTCCCCACCACCCATTTCGGCACACCCCTCACACGTTTCGTGGCCCCATAGGGAGCTCCACCGAAGGCCCCAGTGGCAGGGCCCGCATGCCTCCCCACCACCCATTTCGGCACACCCCTCACACGTTTCGTGGCCCCATAGGGAGCTCCACCGAAGGCCCCAGTGGCAGGGTCCGCATGCCTCCCCACCACCCATTTCGGCACACCCCTCACACGTTTCGTGGCCCCATAGGGAGCTCCACCGAAGGCCCCAGTGGCAGGGTCCGCATGCCTCCCCACCACCCATTTCGGCACACCCCTCACACGTTTCGTGGCCCCATAGGGAGCTCCACCGAAGGCCCCAGTGGCAGGGTTCCGCATGCCTCCCCACCACCCATTTCGGCACACCCCTCACACGTTTCGTGGCCCCATAGGGAGCTCCACCGAAGGCCCCAGTGGCAGGGTTCCGCATGCCTCCCCACCACCCATTTCGGCACACCCCTCACACGTTTCGTGGCCCCATAGGGAGCTCCACCGAAGGCCCCAGTGGCAGGGTTCGCATGCCTCCCCACCACCCATTTCGGCACACCCCTCACACGTTTCGTGGCCCCATAGGGAGCTCCACCGAAGGCCCCAGTGGCTGGTTCGCATGCCTCCCCACCACCCATTTCGGCACACCCCTCACACGTTTCGTGGCCCCATAGGGAGCTCCACCGAAGGCCCCAGTGGCAGGGTCCGCATGCCTCCCCACCACCAATTTCGGCACACCCCTCACACGTTTCGTGGCCCCATAGGGAGCTCCACCGAAGGCCCCAGTGGCCTGGTTCGTATGCCTCCCCAACCCCCATGTCGGCACATCCCTCACACGTTTCGTGGCCCCATGGGGATTTCCACTGGAGGCCCCAGTGACTGGGTTCGCATGCGCCCCCCACACCCATTTCGGCACACCCCTCACACGTTTCGTGGCCCCATAGGGAGCTCCACCGAAGGCCCCAGTGGCAGGGTCCGCATGCCTCCCCACCGCCAATTTCGGCACACCCCTCACACGTTTCGTGGCCCCACAGGGAGCCCCACCGAAGGCCCCAGTGGCTGCGTTCGCATGCCGCCCCCACACCAACTTCGGCACACCCCTCACACGTTTCGTGGCCCCATAGGGAGCTCCACCGAAGGCCCCAGTGGCAGGGTCCGCATGCCGCCCCCGCACCCATTTCGGCACACCCCTCAAACGGTTCGTGGCCCCATAGGGAGATCCACCGAAGACGGTACTCACACCAGCATTATTCACAACTGCATATGGTTGGGTCCTTCGCCAGGCTAATTTTCTGGTGCTCTCGAGTCCCGTCTGTTGAAGGATCGATGTCAACTGCCATTCTTGCTGGCGTTGCCGGCGCTGGTATCACCTGGTCGTTGAGGACCTCGCCAGTGTCCGCGCCTCTCTGGACCAGGAGGGCGAAGTGGGGATGTGCCGCTGTCATCTTTCTGGGCTCCTTGTCATTCGCTTCGATCAGTTTGATCTTGATAGGCTTTCTGTTATGTTGCGCTCTTTCTGCGCTCTTCTTGCGGCGCCGCGAAGGCATCTATGGTCGCGGGCCTGGCGCGGCAGATGGATCTGGATCAGA